TCCCAAGGAGCCAGGCTGCCCAGGTGACACAAAAGGGCTCCGCCAGGCTGACATCCCTGGAGTTGCAGCCAAGGACACTTTCTCTGCTAACAGATCCTAGGTGCCCTGTCCCCTGCTAGGCCAGGGCTCTAGAACACTGCGTGATCCGTGAATTCATTGCAAGATGGCACCCTGTGCCAGTCTCCCTGCACAATGCCGCTGCCACCAGAAGCAGCCCTGTTCCTTGCAGGTCTCACACTCAGTACATGAAATTTGATTTAGATGAAGCCAGTCCATTCAATCACAGAAACAGAACGGCATGTTTTGTGTGGCATCAGGGACAGCCTAGTGAAAGAGGTGTCACCTCTGTGAGAAAGGGTGGAGCAGTGTTCTCCTACTTTGATGTCCTTTCTTTCTCCCCTCCTCCTTCACATAATGAAATTAACCCAGCTCTGCCCACAGAACTGAGCTGCGGTGTGTCCTTTACAAGAAGAAAGAGAGGTGGACGAGGCAGCTCAGTCAAGAAAGACTTTCAAGCTGTGACCCTAACTCTGACCCTAGAAGCCTATAGAAAATCTGGGGTTATGGCAGGTGTTAGCAGCACAGCACTGAAGACAGAGACACAAGCAGATCTCTTTGCTTGCTTGGCAAGCCCCAGGTAAGAGACCCTGTCTCAAAAGAAAAAAGTATACTTCCTGAGAAACAGTACCCAAGGCTGTTCTCTGGTTCCCATGCACAGGTTCGTACACACATGTGGGCAAGCATGCTCACACTCACACACACATGAAATCAGGCTCCTTGTCCTCCTCTGGTCCCCTTTAACTTTGCCAAGATGGACTCCAAGAAAAGAGAAAAGGACAAAGTAGGAGCCTAGTCAAGAGGGGACAGCCTTATCTGGGGCTCTTAGAAAAATGGGGTAGAGTGATGTCCTGTACCCCACTCACCCAGACCCCTTCAGCACCTCCCTTTCCACCCTCTGTACATCCCCACTGTCCCCCACTCTCCTCCCAGAGCCACCATTTCTCCTGGTGTTCGACACATACCTACTGCTCAGGGTTCCAAATATTTTCGGTATAAATGTACTGTTGGGGTTGGCAGCCCTAGGTAATTTGGCAAAGCAAACACCATAACTGGTTTCTTACATAACCCCACAGCTGGCAGCTAGGCGCCAGACTTTGAAATTAAGCAACACCCGATCATCTGAGAAGGCTTGGCTTTTTTTTTTTTTTTTTTTTTTTCCGGGATTAATGTCCTGTTTGTTCCTGTTGCATATATTCTTAATTCCTGGCTGACTTTAATAATGCTTTGAATGAAGCTTCCAATGTGGAGGGCATTTAAAAGCTGGAGAAGGTGTCAATACTTTGAAGGTGATAATGAGTTTGGGGCAAATTCGAAGGACTGATTATCCAAGACTGGTAGTAACTGGCGTCCCCTGTGCTCTGCAGCAAACAGCCTCACCCTTGAAGGACCGGAGCCTGGCCGGACACGCCTATCGCTTGCAACCTACATTCTTTCCATTTCTTCCTCCTTTTCTGATAAAAAAAGAGAAGTATTTAGCTGTGGAATAGAACTCCTCCTCAATTTCAGAGCTCAGATTCTCTGCTGGACTTTTGTTTCTATGGCATTGGCGATCAACTCAGGTCAAGTGCCATACCATCAGCCTTCTAGGACATTCTTTGCTTGGATTTTTTTGAGTGTTTAAGAAAAACGAAAATGTTGCCTATCCCCGGCCCTCCAACTACAGTAAGAAAGTTTTTCAAAGGTGGACCCTGTTTGCTCTTCTACATTTATCCAATGAAGTACGACGGTGAGGGGGTAAAGACACTACATTTCAGAACATCCCCTTCCCCCCCCCTTTTTTTTTCTTAAAAAACAGAGCTCACTGACCAAGACAGATTTCAAAATGTTTCTCTGATGCCCAACAAGAAACATGGATTGAGGTTTTTGTTTTGCTTTTTTTTTTTTTTTTTTTCAGGAAATAACAGAGTTAGCAACTCTGCAAGACATGGGTTTCCAGGTCTCTTGACCCTCAGGACTCCCTTGGGGCTAATTGCTGTTTACAGTGCAGACCTTGGTCCCTTCTCCTTTGTAACATTTTCCATCTTAAGCAGGGCCCGCCCCAGTCAGCCCCAGCAGCGTGTTGTCTGGGCGGCTGAGTGGAATTACTACCAGTGGGAACTATGCCGCAAGAGGGGCGGGTAAAGCTTCAATGCGCAGCAAACCTCAGCGGCCTTTCCACCCGCCGAGCTAATTAGCATAGGGAAAATGACTAAGGTGTTGACGTCACCTCTTTCCAGTAGAAACTTACACTTTGTCCCTGTCTGCCTGCGAGCTTGCGGGACTTGACTCAGGAATTTGCTGTCCAAACAGGATGCTCTGGAAGCCGAGCCCTCTCCACCCCCAGGGGGCTGGCCCTCCTAGGAGCTTTATAAACCCGGCTGGAGAAAGGACTCCCCATCTCGCTCTGGCAAAGGAACCTTCAGCTTGGGGCTTGACTGCGCCTACCCCATAAGAAAGCAGAATGCATTTTAGGGACTTTAACTACAATTTTAGCTCCCTGATTGCCTGTGTGGCAAACGGTGATGTCTTCAGCGAAAGTGAAACCAGGGTAAGGTTCCTCACGGACTGATTTCTGAGCATTTTCCAAGCACTAATTGGGACGATTAGTCAAGGTTCTCAGGGGTGGGTGGCTCTCTCGTGGGGGTAAGTACTTAGAGACTTGAAACTTAGAGGCAGTTGCCTGAAGAGTGAACTGGGATAGGTTCTGGGTAAGCTCTGTCTTTGAATGCTTCCAGGTTCCTTGTGCTCGGGAGGTGCCAACATTTCGTGTGGCCACACTGAGCCCCTGTGAACTCTGGAGGCAGGCTGCTTCCAGCTCGTCCTCCCGGCGTCCCTGGTAGGGAGTAAATACTGTGAATAGAGTATGTGTTTGCAGTAATGACAAGGGTCTGCCTCCAGCTCCCTGATCCCTCTGACTAGAGAAAAATGCAGGCATAGCAAATATTAAAACTCAGTGTGGGGCAAGATACAGAGCTCACCAAAGTAATTAATTAGTTATCTTCATCACTGTACTTCTCCATTTGGTAAAAGACGTAAGAGGTTTTTGTTTTGTTTTTCCCATCAGTTACTACCAAGCCATCTAGTTGATCTTTAATAAGAATCATGTATGAATGGATATTGAATATGTTCCTTTTGTGGGGATGGTGTTTGAGTGCTTTGCTTTACATTCAAGCCATATGTTCAAGGGACGTGTAGAGAGTTTAATCATGTTAGCTACTTGTGTATAATGTTTGAAGGACTGGGACAATAGTTTCAAATTAATTGTAGAACACATTGTATTCACAGACATACTACAGACTTGCTGTGCTGAATATTGGTCTGATAAGTGAAATCATTCAGTTGCTTGTCACTTAAGTAGAAATACTTTGCAACAGCTGTAACAGCTGGGCATCTACTGTTAGAACAAATAAGGTTACTTCATACGTGATGTGGTGTGGATTTAGCAATAATGTGTAGTCTCTGGTACTCTGGTTCTGAGCCCTGACTTGCATTCTAAAAATATTCACCAAAGTCATCTCTCCCAAATTCTGAATCATAACTTCAGAACTACACAGTTAGTCACAGTGCCTATTGATGAGGTCATGCGTAATTCCAGCTTTAACAAGACACCCTTATGCCAGAAACTTGCCCAGTGCCTAAGAGGTGGAAGGGAGGACTAGCCCAGCTGGTGACATCCAGGTCAGATGTCAGCTCTGCTCTCCTCCACACCCACCTCTGTGCAGAGCCCCTAGTGGGAGAATCACAGAAAGGGCCCTGAGCTGAAGAAAAGCCTAGGAATGCACAGAGCAAGGTGGAGAGACTTCTAGGCTCCCAAGCCACCTGCTCATCAAGAAGAGAGCTGGAGCTACCAGGCCTCTGTTCCCAAAGACAACTGACTTGGAATTTCCTGCTCCCCTCTGTGCTCCCCTCAGTGTTCCCAGGAAAGGCCTGTCAACAGCGCACCCTCTCCTGCCTCAGCTGATCACCTCTGCAGCGAGCACCTCTTGGGGTCCAGGATCTCTGCCAGCCACCTTCTCAGCACCCCACCTTCCAGAAGTCCCACACACTGTCCTGAGTGTTTAGCCTGTAGAAAGGAACTGGAAAAGCACCTGGCTTCTAAAAGTTCACAGATCCCCCTGGAGTCCTCATGAGGGGCAGCCCCTCTCCCCTTCCCCTCCCTTCGCCCTCCCCACCAGCACTGCTGCAGGAGAGGGTGGGGCTCCCCAGCCTTTCCCGGGAGGATGATGAGGTTTTTCCAGGAGCTGGGAACCAAGCTTGTAATCCCCGAATCTAGGCTTTCTATGCTAAGAACTCGGCGTTTCCCAATTCTCAGCCATCCTTGCCACAGCAGAGGGAGCTGTGCACCCGCATGGACCACAGCCCCTGTGCAGTGGCCCATTTGCAGCACATTGACTTTTAAAGCAGTATTCTTCCAGAGTTAAAGAGTAACAGACTGAGATAAAACTACGGGGGGGGGGGGGTCACAAAGAGCTCCCTTTCAGAGGTGGTGAGACTTCCTTTTAAGGTCGTTGTTCCTTGTTCTTCAGTTTTTAAAAGGGTTCTTTCCTCCTCTTCAAATCTGCTGCAGGGCCTTGAGCCCTAAAGAAATATTTGAAGAACACAGTATCCACTCTGGCTAGACAGCGGAGTCACGGGATATCAAGCTAGGACCATGAGCAGCCTGGCTGAACCTCCTTGGAAAATGCTTATCCCACTTGAAAAAGAATCGGTAATTGTTCTGCTCTACTAACTCATGTCTTCTTCCCTTCTCATGAGATCATGTGCAGGACCCAGTGGCGCACAGTGTGCTTCCCTGAGAACGCTCCCAACCCCGACTCACAGGGAACAGGCCGCAGCATCACCTCAGAAGGGGCAGCCTTCGCTGGGGTCCCTGAAACGACTGAAAACTCACTGCTTCACCGAGGAGGGCAGTGACTAAGGCCGCAAATAGGAGGATTTTAAACCCTTTTATTATTTTTCAGGCCAAATTTGAATCCCTCTTCAGGACGTATGACAAGGACATCACCTTCCAGTATTTCAAGAGCTTCAAACGAGTCCGAATAAACTTCAGCAACCCCTTATCTGCCGCCGATGCCAGGCTGCGGCTGCACAAGACTCAGTTCCTGGGGAAGGAAATGAAGTTATATTTTGCTCAGGTAAGTGTGTTCATTGTGAAGAGGTTCCTCCCTCACAGCTCTTGTGCAGCAAAGACCTTATATGCTGGCTGTGTTCTACGCTGGAAGCCAAGAGCTCACCTCAAGCAAAGCAGGGTCCCCACTTTGAATTCTCAGTCTCTCTCACCTGTTCTACAAAGGAATCAAGTCCATGTGAAAACAGCCTCAGAGACAGTAACCCTGGACCTTCCTGGGTTAACTCACGAGGGGAAGCGAGCTCTTGTTCATCCAGGGAGCTTGCAGGCTGCTCCTGTACATTCTACACTAGGATTTGGGTCCTGGGTCTCTGAAGTTTCTCAGGGATTAGGCTAATGACGTCTCAAGAGCTGTCTCCAGCTGGCGCAGGTTCTCCAGGCTTCGGATAGCAGCTCCCTTTGTAAACCTGTATGCAGATCAGCATAGGGGTGCCACTCAGCGTGGGATGGGGGACAGTTCTGCCAACCTCCAGTACACCTTCAAGGCAGCCCCCAACTTCCGTCTGATATTAGATTGCCAGGGAAAGAAGACGAAGCTTCCAGAATGTTATTCCAAGGAAACTTAGTCCTTGTCAGGCTCTGAGCCTTCTCACGCCACTTCCACCCCCAGAGATGTTCCTTAGCCTTTGGGCCTGACAGAAATTGATTCTGAGATCCCTTTCACCTCAGTGGTGGTGGCTTCGTTTATTCTGAAGTTTCCTCTGTTCGCTTACTGCTGGTTTAGTGCAAGCATAACCTGTGTGGGGTGAGGCTCACAGCCCTGGAGGGGCCTCTCACCATATTGGCACTGTTAGGGTTTCAACATGAAAAGCTGCTTGTGGGCTCTTCCGTTTGAAATCTTGGGTCCTTAATGGTGCTGTTTTGGGGAGTTAGGGATCCTTTTGGAGCCGGGGCCTACCTAAAGGATGACTGAGGGTTAAGAGCCCAGCCCCGCTTCTGGTTGAGGCCCCTTTGCTTCCTGGTTGGCACCATGTAGCAAGTTACCACATGCTTATACAGCTCAGAGCCACCATGAACACCATGCCTTCTTCACCATGCTGACTGTGCCCTTTCAAACCGTGAGCCAGGCTCAGTCCCTGCTCCCTCCAGTTGCTTTCACTTAGTGTTGTCGTGGCCACTAGAAAAGTTCACCCAGCACAGGCACGAAATCCAGAGCTCCGTCCTCCCTTGGCTCCTCACAGACCACTTCCTGCTTCCTCTTGGGATCATACCTGGGCCATTGCCTGGGCCATTGGTCTGTCCTTGTATGTGTGCCTTCCAGAAGCTTCCATGAATGTAATGATGAACTGACTTCTTTCCTCAGACTTTACACATAGGAAGTTCACACCTGGCTCCACCCAATCCAGACAAACAGTTTCTCATCTCTCCTCCTGCTTCTCCACCCGTTGGTTGGAAACAAGTGGAAGATGCTACCCCAGTCATAAATTATGACCTTTTATATGCTATCTCCAAGCTGGGGCCAGGTAAGCAGTGCCCTCAGGGGGCCAAAGGTCTGGGAGGTGTGGGGAGATTGTCCCAACACAAGACAGTCATCTGTCTGGAGTCCCCGTAGCCCACATGACACCGTGCATGTGTGGGCGCTGCATTCTTCCACATCGCGACAGCTGGTGCTGGCGGCCCTGTACTGCACCAGCCTGCCGGCTTTGTGCTCCACCATCCCCCAAGTGTCCCCTGAATCTGCCCCTCACCCACCAGGCACACCCGTGTGGCTCACTCCAGGCCCCAGCTCATGTTGTTGTAGGTAGGGTGAGAGTTTAAACAGCCTTCTAAGGAGTTCATCTCCAACCATTGTTCTTAACTGACTTCCTTAATGGGTGGGAGGAGAACCACGGGTCATGGTGAGGGCAGAGCCTCAAATGAATCTCACCATTGGAACCCTGGGCCCCAGATCAACCACCACCCAGTAAACAGTACTTTGCATGGTGCCTGGCACAGTCAGTGCTCAGTGCCCAATATATGGGTTTTGGAAACTGTAAAATGTTAGTCCTCCTGTCCTATGGATAGGCCTTGCCAGAGGGAAGGCTGGAGGGAAGGTTCAGGAGGGGTGCAGAGATGTGATCCCTACTCCTGTCCCCCACATACAGCAAGCCGAATAAACACTGCCCATCAGCTCCTTTTTCTCCTTGACCAGATATCTGATGTTCCTTTAGGGAAGGGGTTTTATTTTTGTGGCCCATCAGCAGTTTCATGCTGAAAGATTACACTTCTGAGAACGCAGCCTAAACAGAAATCCCTCCTGGGGTACAAAGTGAGAATCGAGTTACTAGTGCTAATTGTGGCATCAAGGTCAAAACTAGAAATGGCCTGTGTGAGCAGGAAGATGTTTCACCATGGAAGCTCCTAGGGAAGCTGAAGGTTTGGAGTCTGCGGGTGTTTTCACGTGGAAGGCAATCCTTCATGGCAGTCTTCCTCTGCAGCACAGGATCAAACTATCCCAGAGGCAGGAAGTGAGGTGAGCTTCCTGTCTCTGAGACAGGCATGAAGGGGCTGAAGCATCCCTTCAGGAAGTCTGCGCTGGATATGATGGAAGCTAGAGTAGAGGAGTGCCTGCTGGGCTCCGTGACTGAATTCTGCACTTGACAGCAGCCTTCGGGCTGCAGAGAGGCTTCCAGAAGGTGACCTGCCCCGAGCAGGCTGGCCTTCCTCTGTTTAGTGGTGAAGTTAATTCTGGTTCCTTGTCTGTTTTTGTATCTCATTTTCTATCTCAGCTGAGCTTCTCAGGACTGCAGAGGTCCTGCATTTCACAAATGCAGCCTTAAGTCCTGAGCCTTCTGCCCTTGGGCCAGTGGTAGATACTTACAGGAAAACCCTCCATTTCCAACTTTTCCAGTGACCCTCGATACTGGGAGAGCAGAGGTTCCTTTGCTTCTCAGACAGAGCAGCACTTTAGCCTCACTGGTTGGGTAGAGGCCAGGCTGCCTCCTTGTTCATCAGTGCTGGGCCTCCCACATCCGAGGGGTGTGCTGGAAAGGTGGAGGTCAACCAAGCTGCTATATCAGCTTGGAAATTTAGCCACTTCAGCAATGGGGTTCAAACCCGGGGCCTTAAATCTGCTGGCAAACACTTCTTGTCTGGCCTATGTCCCCAGTACCCTCCTTTTTAAAAACACAAGTCTAGATGGCATTTGTCAGTTGTGAGCATACTGCTGGCTGCTCTGAATCCATTCTCTCCTGGAATCGGCCCCACTGATGCCATTGTTGCCCCATTCAGAGAAAAGGCAGAGGGCACAAAGAAGTGACACATCTTGCCCACCAGCCCTACTCACTTCCGGTCCACAGTGGCCACTCTGCCATGCTGCCATCCAACCGCTTCCAGCACAGGCCCCCTCAAGGAACATCCCAGACCCTTCCCTCTTGGACTAATATCTCATGACAGAGCTCACCCTGCCCTTGCTTCACCAGAGTGTTGTAAATATGACTGTGCCTGGGCAAGCTTGGGCTAGCCCAGAAGAGCAATGAGGGAGTGCTCCCAGTCCCAGTTAATAGGCGGTAAAGGATGCTGTGGCTGAGGACGTCACCTGGATGGTGGAGTGCTGGCTTAGCATCATGAAGCTCTGAGTGTGGCCCGCAATGTCCATAAGTCAGGCATGGTGGTGCAGAACATCCAGCATCCAGAAGGTGGAGGCAGGAGGAGCAGAAGGTTAGGGTCAGCCTCAGCTATCTCAGGCCAGCCCGTACTATACAAAACCCCGTCTCCAAACTAAGGAAAGGTTGCTGGGGCTGGACAGATCCAACACAGACACACGTGTGCACACAGGGCCTCTTCACAGCTTCTCACCCCCGGTGGGCTCCGGAGCCCCAGCTGGAAGCCTTGTAAGGGAGGCACAGGGCGCTTGTTCCAGAGGAGCTTTGCCCATCACCGCTCCCCAGGCCACCCTTGCAGAATGCTGATGGCAGCCCTCCGGTGGGCACGGGAAGGGTTAACTAGCAATGCGCACTTGTGCTCTCCCTCCCTGCACTCCGTGCCTGACTGAAAGCAATTCTGTAGTGGAAAGTGTGCCATTTTGTGAATAAGCCATCCATGAGGGAGGCACAGTGCAGAAGACAGGCAGGAAGTGGCCAAGCAAGCCCTGGCATCGGTCCCACACTCCCGCCCAGCATGCTCAAGGACTTGCCCTAGTCACCAGTTACCATGCAGTTGTTCCTTCCCCTAGGGGAGAAGTATGAGCTGCACGCAGCCACAGACACCACTCCCAGCGTGGTGGTCCATGTGTGTGAGAGCGACCAAGAGAATGAAGAAGAGGAGGAGATGGAGAGGATGAAGAGACCCAAGCCAAAAATTATCCAGACAAGGAGGCCAGAGTACACACCCATCCACCTCAGCTGAACCGGCGCACAGACCTTGATGGCGTGTCCTGAACCCCACTCGTGGGAAGGAATCTTTTACTGTGCAGGTGGCTGGTCATAGCTTTGGAGGTTTAACAGCCGTGACCACTGTGGCAGGAATTCCAGTTCATGTTGCTCAGAAGAGAAGCAAGGCCTCATCTCCTTGTTCTGATACCGCACCTCAGTCCATGCCCTTGGCACCTGGGAATGTCTTGGGCCATTCGCTGAGTTTGTGGTAATTGCACAAGGACATTTGGGGACATCTTGAGAAAACTGATAATGGTAGTGTCTTGTACTCGCTCTTCTCTAGGTTCTGTTTTTGCGAAGGACAGGTTGCCTGGTGGCCGAGAGAAACAGTTTAGCATTCGGGGTCCAGCCCCACTGGCAGGCTGCGGCACCCCGCAGAGCCGCCAGGTGTCCGGTGCAGAAGGTTGTGGGGCAGCCCCGATGCCATGTGGGAACTGTCCTCCTCATCTCTCCCCTCGTCTTCTGACGTTGATGCACGTAGATTCCTAGGTCCCAAGACCAACCTCTGTTCAGTGCGAAATCGCGCTGTTGTTTTCCATCTTGGGAAGGTAGGAGAAGCAACAGAACACTCTTACCAATTTCCTGGTCCCGGCTCTTTCTCTGCAACCACACACAGGTGGGGTTCCGCCTGGAGACATCCACTCGTCCCCCTGTCCAGTGCATCATGTCATTTGTGCTTTCTTGAAAAAAAAAAAAAATTGATCTGAGTTCCTGTGTAGAATTTAGTGTCTACGATGGAGAGAGGTTTCACCTCCCGCTCTTGGCGGGCGGAAGTTTTAGTTCAGACATTAGTTTCCATTGTTTATTTCATGTAGTGGTTTGTGCGTGAATTTCAGCCAAAAACCTCGTTGGGAAATGTTGGTTGAGACAGTTTTTCACCCCATTGAAACATGAAGATAAACTTGTAAATAAAGCCAAGAGCATCTCTTAATACCTGTCATGTACCTGGGTGAAGATAGAGGGCAGAGGGAGTTTCAAGCTACCTGTGACTTGTATGCGGTAGAAATTACTGTCGTGTGTTCAATGGGGTGAGCTCGGAGCATGTGAAGTGCGTGGTAGCTGTGTGTTGCTAGTTAGAGGGACACAGTGCCTTTCCCCTTCCATTCCGGATGGGCCGTGACACTCGGTAAACATTTGGGAATTTCTCCTTTTCTAGAATCATGTGTGTGTCTGGTAAATAGGTATTCTATTTTGGTCTTACAATGCCATTACAAAGTCTGTCACTCTGAAATAGCCTAATGCCAATTAACAGTGCATGCTTTGGGAATTCAGAAGGTGGTTTCCTCTGGGGAGCAAATCCTTTGGCATTCGTTTTTCCAGTAGTCTGCAATGACAAATGGATTGAGTGTTCTCCCAACCCTGTTTCCAGTGCTCAGGGGAAGGGAGCCAGCAAAGGAGAGACCATCTCATAGCCGTGAGTGTTTCTAGTCCAGCACTTTTGAACCGGAGAGGCTAACCTCAAAGATATTTTTTTTAACTGCATTCTATAATAAATCAGCACAATATGCTCTTCTGGAGAAGTTGTTTGTCGTTTTCTTTCTGGGACTAGTCATAAGAGGGAACATCATTTGTCAATTCCTGCTGTTGTGTCATAATTCAGGGTGTAACACATCACTCGGGAAAGGGCCAAACAGATAGAACTGTGGAGGTCAGAGGACAGCTGGTGCTAGCCTGTTCTTTCCTTTGACTCTGTGGGTCGCAGGGATAGAACTCAGGGCATCAGGCGTGGCTGCAGGCGTTCTTGCCTGCTGAGCCACCTTAAAGGCCAGTTTTGTTCAGCAGATCTGAAACTCTGCTCACCTATTCCCTGGAAAAGGGGTTGTGAAGCTCCTGGCCAGCCTGCAAAAGCCTCAATTATTTATTTGCTGAAATATGGAAAAAGGCACTCATGTTGATCAAGATTAACATTAAATATTCCTTTGTGGAAACTTACATGCTACTCTTTTTAATCCAATTGCTCAGAGCTAATGATTGAACAGATTTGCTAACTGACTGCCTGGGTAGAGGGGCATTTTTCTAAGTAGAGATACAGCATGGGGTTCCCCTCTTTTATTCTAGATGACAGAGACCATGTGCTCTGCTGGCTCCAGGCACGAGCTCATAAATAGCCCTGGAAGAGAGCTGAGGTGTTACCCTGTAGCTGACTTGGAGCAGTTCTACACACAGCTGTGTGGAAAGGTGGTGGCCTGGCTGCTGAAGATGCCAGCCCTATAGTAGAACTCACAGGGCATCGAACACCCCATGCGAGACCTTTTTTGAGTGGCTTCATGGTGGGCAGGATTGCCTGGATCTGAAGGGGCCAAATGACAACATGCCTGGGCGGGTAATAGTGTGCTTTGCTGTTGATCAGATGTAGTTCTGAGACAGTGTATGCCTCACATTTCACTGCTGCTGGAACATGTGTCTGAAATGGTTTAAAGGAGGAAAGATGCAGCCCGTGCTGGCTAGCTCTGTTCCTGGGCCTAGTGAGGCAGACCGCAGTGCAAGGGCATCATGAGGCAATGTCGTTCACCTCATACAGCCAGGAGGTAGAAAAGGGAAGGGGCTAGGGACCACGTATTACCTTACAGAGGCATCACATACATACTGTAACCCCCCACCTATGACCTGCTCCCTCTAGTTAATCCTTACCTCCTAAAATTCCTACAAGACAGTGTCACTAACTGAGATGACATGGAGAAGACTCAGCCCTTAACACGTGCCATGTAGAAAACATGTAATATTCAAACCACAGAGACTTCATGGGTGTCTTAGTGATCTGGAAAGTAAGCTTGATCATCCCAGGAAGCAGTTCTCCTTGGCATGAATGCTGAACCAAGTTGATACAAGCACAGAGTGTACAGGGTGTGGTAGTTCTTGGGGCTATGAAGGCTCGGGGTTCTAGACCGCTATTTGTAATCAGCAAACACAGCATGTAGGAGGGGACATTCCCAGAAAGCTCTGTGAATTAGTGCCCACTCTGGTTTTTCAGAGTGCTTTAATATTTAGGGAAAACACAGAACTCACTATGGTGTAAATAGGCCTTATCAGATATTAAATCATAAAGAATTAAATCCACCATTTTGTAGGTGAAGTTGAACAGGCAGCATCCTTCATCACAGTGTGGAATGTTTGCTTCCATGTACTTAATAAGTGTGTTCAGTAACATTTATCGGAAGGTCAACGGTTCAGATGAAAACTACACAAATAATTTCCCTCAAAATTACCTAGGAAGATGATCCTCCGAGTTGCAAACACTCTCCCATGGCCTCTGGGCTTCTGTCTCTAAAGTAGGACATGGAGGTTGCTTTGAAATGTGCATCTGCTGGCCATGGCGATTTCACACTGGAAAGTCACCCGACTCGTCAGAGGCATGTGGCCATTGGGCAAACAGCTTTTCTTCCCACACACCTCACTTTCTCCAGGAGGCCTTCCATGCTGTTCGTGAAAGGTCATTTTCATCATGGCATGTGTATGAAAGACAGAAATTACCTGCAAGTGATTGAGCTGTCGTGCCCACAGCCAGCATTTACTTTCCCTCTGAGGTTCAGATTGGGGCTTTGCTTACCATTCTTCAGGGAACAGAATGCAAGGCAGACCTGGAGCCTCTGGCCACACACTGTTGGTTTTCCACCATATGCACCATTTCTCCTGCACTCTTCATGTAGAATACTATGGCAATGGCCCAACCCAGCTAACTCCATCATGTTGCCTGTCCTGCTCACCTGTGCCCAGTCATGGGCAGTTATCACAGTGCCTGGGCCACAGTGCTCTACGAATATTGAGGAGCCATGAGCCAACTCAATATTGTCCTACAAATCTCCATCATTAATGCCTCTTCCTCAGAAAATCAATGCCAGCTACTTTTGCCAGGTCTCCCATTATGCCTCATTCTTCCTTGTATTATGTATCATCTTTTCAGCATAATTGTTTGCTTTCTTTATCTGAACATAAGTTGGGTGGAAACTGGATTTTGGGTAGCCAGCTAATGGCTTACAGTAGACACTGGACATACTTGATGGCTAGTAAATTGAATAGAACGATGAATCAATGGATGGATAGAGTAATGAGTAGGATAGAGAATGAGTAGGATCAATTGGATGGACAGATGGATGGGTGGGTGGATGGATGGATGGATGGATGGATGGATGGATGGATGGATGGATGGGAAAGTATGTGGTTGGACAGGTAGACTGAGAGTGGTTGGGTGTTTGGGAGAGGGATGGATGGATGGGTTGGTGAATGGGTAGATGGATGGATAGATGGATTGGTGGATGGGTAAATGGATGGATGGATGGATTAGTGAATGGTTGGATGGATAGATAGATGGGTTGGTGAATGGGTGGATGGATGGATGGATGGGTGGGTTTGTGGATGGGTGAATGGATTGGGTGGGTTGGTGAATGTGTGGATGGATGGATAGATGGGCTGGTGATTGAGTGGGTAGATGGGTATTTGAGTTGGTGAATGGGTGGGTGGATGGGTATTTGGGTTGGTGAATGGGTGGATGTGAAAGTAACTTGTATTCTCCTGATGTAATTGTCATCTCTGAGGCTTACTGCCTCTGTCTGCTAACACCTAGTCTGAAAGCTTCTAACCTCCATACAATCTAATCTAGGCCTAGGTGTTTTCATCCTCTGAGACTTACTACTGAGTAAGCTCACCTTTTCTTGTTCTTATTGAGCTCTGGGCTGGCTGGTTCAACTCAGCTGTTCTGGCTCAAATGCCTCTCCCAGCTGACTTATTCAATCTGGCTCCTTCTCATTCTCAATCTGGCTCATTCTGCCTTCACCTGAGTTGTCTCTCTGCAACCTAGCTCTCTATTTCTGTCCTGGTAAAACTTCCTCCACTCTTTCTGCATTGCCCCTTAAGTAGCTTCCCTTTCTTCTCTCTCCTTGTGAGAGTTGGGCATATCCTATTCTGTCAAGTCTTTCTCTGATTCGTCATTGATTTTACCACTCAATTAGACATCACTTCAAACTTGGATGCTTCCTTCTATAAACTAACTTTACCTTCATTGTTTGGGATTAAAGGCGTGCACCACCACACCTGGACCTAAGCTTTTCTTTACTTGAAACTTTCTCTATACCAGGCTGGCCTTGAACTCAGATCTGCTTGCCTTTGTCTCCCAGATTAAAGGCCTGTTTATATTCCAGCTGGATCACACAGACCTAGAAGGTCTTTGAATGTAATCTCTTGCCAGAACAGCCATGCTCTAAATTAAAATTCCTCTACAGGCAGATGGATGGATAGATGGATTGTTGAGAGGGTAGATGGATGGGTTAGTGGGAAGGTGGATGGGTGGATGAACAGATAGATAATGGGGATTTTGAAGAATGAGAAATGAGCTGCTGCTGAGAAAGAATAGAAAAATAATGAGACCTGTCCCTCCAGAGACCTGTCTCTCCAGTCAGCAAGCTTGTAAGCAGTTCAGTGCTTTAATCCAGCAAATTGTCAGGCTACTGATGCATCAGGAAATTAAAAGCAGGGATTAGGAGACATGATTGTGCAGGGCACTCGCTGAGAAGAAACAGGCTTGTTTAAACCTGCTTCTTCTAAGAAAGATATGGGCTGAGAGTGAATGACTGAGAGAGCCTTGAAAGAAGGCTTTCTTCAGTAATGAGATTTTTCTTGACTGAGCACCTGGTGACAAATGACAAAAAAGCAGTAGCAACACAGGTTCATACATCTGTCAAACACACACACACACACATACACACAAGCAAAACACCCAAGCTCATGCAAGTGGGAGTTATTTGTTAATGTAAGCCTAGTCAAGGTGATTTGACTTAAAAATCAGGGTAGAGGGAGAAAACTCGAATCTTGGACAGAGGATGAAAAGTGAAGAAAGGTCTTAATCCCCACCATCTATCTACTTTTAGAGACATGATGGAGATGCAGAGATCTGGCAACTTTAAAACATGATGTCACACAGAAGAGTGGAGGAGGGGCCTTTGTGTGTATCAGTGTTCTAAACGTTTCTTAAAAGACTTTGGGGTGTGTGTGTGTGTGTGTGTGTGTGTGTGTAATCAAAGCCTTGTATGTACTATGGAAGCATTTACCACTGAGCTACATTCCCAGCCACAGCAAAAATCAACTTGGGGGAGCTGAAAAGATAGTTCATTGACTGAGATCACTTGCTGCTCTTGCAGAGGACCTAGATCCAGTTCCTAGTGCACACATGGTGGCTGGCCCTCAGCCATCCACAACTCCAGTTCTGGGGTAACCGACACCCTCTTTCAACCTTCATGGGCACCTGGCAAACATGGTGCCCATAGGTACATGCAGGCAAAACACACACATAAAATAAACAAATTTCAAAAGTCAACTTGACCACATTTACTTCCTTCAGTTTAATATATGATTGATTTCCTATGTGCCTAAAACAATGGTTTTTTCTTCAAGAACAATATACATTTGTATTTAAACTATAGAAAGACACATGGGTATGAAGAGATTTGTTGGTCTCTGACACTGACTACTAAAACCTTCTGAGATTCTTCCAGGACAGGAAATACTACAAACACCCAGAGCATGACAT